TGGTGGTGGTGATGGCGATGCTGCTCATGATGGTGATGATGACGACGACGTTGGCGATGGAGAGGAGGAGGAGGAGGAAGGGGGGGACGGAGATGACAATTTACAGGACGCGGGTGGCTGTGAGGGCGATGATTAGTTTTTTCTGTTATTGTGGCTTTTGCCAATGGGAGTAATATTAGTTCCCACGTTAGGCTCATCGATTCCTCACTGTAATAATGCCACTGCGTATATCTTCCTTCCATCTCGTTTTTGCAGTCAGACTGCTCTAAACTGTCTGGCAAGAGAAGTCTTCACTGACGTGGAACGTCTGCTCAAAGAACGACGACGGAAGGATGTAGTGACTCTGTTTGCCTTATCTGAACAGGGCTACTGAGTAGCTGTATTACTGGTAAACCGACCGAACCGTTTCATCTTGAAAAGGCCGGAGCTAAAATGTGAATAAGGAAACAAAATATTTTGACTGGATAAATTTTTTAGATAAAACCCCTACTTCCTCCTTTCCACCCATTGTCTCGCAACGTGTTGACGATTGCCTTGTTTATTTAACTGTTGCGGCCTTGTGCCTCCTAGAATATCCACACTTTAGTCATTATTGGGAATTTTTGCAAATGTTTCAGGGACTTTAGAGAGTTCCGGTTTCGTCTGTCGGCTTCTTTATTTATGATATGCCCTTGCATTTTGCCTACAGTGACAACTCTGTCTTCTAAAAGGGCTTTTCTGTTGTCATACCGCCTCTCTCTGTTGCCTGCTCTGTTTAGAGATCATTCATCACCTTACCCGCTTTTGACTTTCTCAGATCAGAGGTCGATCCGGCGATCACAGACGCTGAACTCTGTTGACGGCTACGGGCCAACAGGAAGCGAGGTGCTGTTAAGCTAGAAGAGGCAAGTTGGAGCTGTAGCATGTTGCATACGAATCCCGTCTTTCACTCGGCTTCTGCGATGCCGTTCCGATTACGGTCCAATCAGCCAATCGTAGCGGTCATGTGTGCTCTCTGGCCTCTCGTTTCACCCGCATCCTTTGTTCACATTGCTATTTCTCCGTCAATGGACTCTGCAGAAAGCTGAATCTGCAAGCATGTTTACGCAATATACTTGGCAGGATTCCTAAAGGGCATCTGAAGAGGACTGCCCATCGTAGGACGTTGCTAGTTTACCCTGTGCAGCAATCAATAAAGCACCAGCGTTCTTAAAAATAACTTTCCTTCGCCGAGGAATGGACATATACCGATCTGCTTAACATCCCAGCTCTAACAGACTCCGTCCCCTGTTCGTATGGGCTATGAGCAGACGACTACAGTGTACACCAATTTCAGTTGTAAAAGTATTCCAACCGATCTAGGAGAAGACTTATAGATAGGTGTGGAGGGAGGTGAGACTGATACAACTGACGCCAGTTTGACTCAAATTTCGGATCCCACCCGATGTATGCCAGCGCGTCGGGTTGTGACCTCTTATATATTTTCGCAACCTGATGGCAGCCGCCCCTGCTGTTGCTAACAGGCGCCGTCCCAGTGGTTTAGGATAGCTCGATGGGATCACACGAAAGGCTTCATTGGGGTCTACATGATGTCCGGAATCGGCAGCATGCGCGAGAATGGCGCTGCTTATGCCCCTAGTTTCGCCTTTTCCCAGCCATGCCGGGAGGTGCTCCCGTATTCTCTTGGATAAGCGCCGACTCGTACAACCAATATAACCTGCTCCACAGGAGCAAGTGAAGGAATATATGTACACTGAAGTGGTCTGGGCTGACAACCTATCCTTACCTCCTCCGCGTAAAATAGGGTTAGTAGAGAAGGATACTTGAACCCTTGCCGCCGG